CAGGAGCCAGCAACTTCATCTGGCTCTCCCATGTGACTGCAGGGGCCCAAGCACTTGGGCCATCTTCTGCTGCTTTCCCAGGTGCATCAGCAGGGAGCTGGGTTGGAAGTGGAGGAGCTGGGACTCAAACCGGTCCCCATATGAGATGCTGGCATTGCAGGTGTTGGCGTAACCCGCTGGGCCACAGTGCTGACCCCTGTCATTTTTTTTCCCCTTTGCTTATGCCCAGCTTCAGACTTAGTAATGAACATTCAATAAATACTTGTTGAATGCATAAATGAACTTCTTTTAAAAAATGTTTATGTTCATCTATTTTAAAGGCAGAATGACACACACACACACAAAAGAGAGAGAGGGAGAGGGAGGGAGAGAGAGAGAGAGGAAAGAGAGAGAGAGAGAGAGAGAGAGAGAGAGAGAAAGAGAGAGCCTCATCCACTGGTTCACTCTCCAAGTGCCCACATCAGCTAGGGCTGGGCTGGGCTGAAGTCAGGAGCCTGAAACTCCATCCTTGAGGACAGGTGCCTTCCCCTTGACATTCGCTCTAGGGGCTCGGGCTGACTCATGTCCAGTACTGTTTATAGGTATTTGTACTTGTTTGGTGACTGAACAGATACTATGTTGGTAGCAGATAAAAGGTAAAACTTGTTTTGGAATCTCCTGAAAATTGAGACCCATGACGTGGTAGAATAGGAGGCGGAAGGAGGGGCCCCATGGGTGTGGTGAGGGGACATGGCAGGGGATTCTGGTGGTTGAGCAGCTCCAGGGCACTGCTCTGGGTTCAGGGAGGCTCGTTTGGGGGGTGCTGAGCTGCTGTGAAGAAGTGGTCGTCTCCGCTTCTCACTGCTCTGTGTTAATGCGGGGACCAGGAGTCCTTGGAAACTCACAAGATGTTAGAACCGTGTTACAGGATGCTCCTGCTCAGAGCTAGCTTGGGGTGCTGGAGACGGATACAATTCCTGGAGAAGTCAGTCTTGGGGGAATTTGATGTAACCATGATGGCTTCTATTCCAGACACAATTAATTAGGACTTCTTTCTTTCTTTCTTTTTAAAGACATTAATTTGAAAGAGAGAGAGAGAGAGAGAGAGAGAGAGATTGATTCTTTCATGTATTAGTTCAGTCCCCAAGTGGCTGCAATGGCAGAAGTTGAGTTGATCCAGAGCCAGGAGCTTCTTCCCAGTCTCCTGTGTGGGTGCAGGGGCCCCATCACTTGGGCCATCTTCATCTGTCTTCCCAGGCTCCTTAGCAGGGAGCTGGATTGGAAGTGGAGCAGCTGGGATGTGAACTGGTGCCCATGTGGGATGCCGTTACTGCAGGCAGCTGCTTAACCTGCTATGCCACAGCACTGGCCTCCCAAAACACAGCTTCAGGAGCACGATTTCCCAGTGTCCCTGGAACCCAGAGGTCTGGTCTTTGGCCAGGTGTTTCAGTACTTCTTGGCATAGCCCTGGAAGCCCGTGACTGACAGCCCTGCTGCTTCCTGCTTTCCCAGCACTCTGTCCCTTTGACATTTCTACCCCAGTGTCTGCCTGTCTTTCAGGACCTGTGTCAGGTGCTGCTTTCTTTACTGCACTGCTTCAGACTCTTAGAAGCTCCCGGCAGCTGTCCCTGGTCCTTTGTGATAGAACAGATCCCGTTCTGTAGCGTAGTCTATAGCTGCCTAGCAAACACGGGCCATCAGTTACTCACTTTCGTATTCTCAGAAGCAGCTGGAATAGTGCTTTGTGTGTGGTGGTTCCTTAATAGATACTAAGTTTTCTTTAAATATATTTTTTAAAATTTCATTTTATTTTGAAAGGCAGAGAGTTTTTGAAAGCTTTTGAAAGAAAGAGTGTGTGTTTTTTTTAAGATTTATTTTATGTATTTGAAAGGCAGAGTTACAGAGGGGCAGAGGCAGTGAGAGAGAAAGAGAGAGAGAGAGAGAGAGAGAGAGGGATCTTCCATCTGCTGGTTTACTCGCTAGATGGCTGCAATGGCCAGGGCTGCACCAATCCAAAGCCAGGAGCCAGGAGCTTCTTCTGGATCTCCCATGTGGGAGCAGGGGCCAAAGCACTTTGGCCATCCTCCGCTGTTTTCCCAGGCCATAGCAGAGAGCTGGATTGGAAGTGGAGCAGCCAGGACATGAATTGGCACCCATATGGGATGCTGACACTGCAGGCGGCGACTTCACCAGCTACACCACAGTGCTGGCCTCGAAAGAAAGAGTTTTGAAAGACAGATGTACCTTCCATCCACTGGTTCATTCCCCAAATGCCCACAACAACCAGGGCTTGGTCAGGCCAAAGCCAGGAGACTAGAATGTCTTCTGGGTTTTCCAGGTGGGCACTCAAGTACTTGAGCCATCATTTGCTGCCTCCCAGGGTGTGCACTGGCAGGAAGCTGGATTGGAAACACCAAGGAGCTGGGACTAGAATTCTGCACTGTGATAAGGAATACTGTGGTCCCAAGTGGTGGGTTTGCTTGAAACACCACATGCCCCCAACATTTTATTTCTCTTCTCTGGCTCTGCAGGCAGCCTCACCCCCTATATAGGCTATCTGCCCAGATTTACTGCCCAGCAAGTAAGGGCCAAGAGGCAGGACTTGTGAGGGGGGGAGGCGCTCCAGTGTTGCAGGATTGCTGTCTCTGTGGCGGGCCTGGCTGATTGAAATGGAGATCATTTGAGGAAGATTGCCACTGCTAGGTAATGCCCGTTGCTTGACCTTGCCAGTTCTCTCTATGTGACAAGGTTAATGAGAAGAGGATGCAGAGTGTTGGGTGGCAATAGTTTTAGCATCTGAGAAAATTTGAATGTTTTCAAGATAGTAACAACTGGATTCGGTATCTGGTCTAGAATATCCATGCCACATGAATGCACACTTTTTGAGAAGCAAGCATGTGACTGTTTACCCAGTTTCTGATAGAATTTAAAACACGTGAATTGAGTTGGGAAGAAAGGAATTCGTTCAGAGGGGTGACTCTCCTTGGAGTGCAGTGGCAAGGTCAAGATAGTTAGGCTGGCACAGGGTAAGTTAAACAAGTGTAACAGAACCGGCAAGTTAAAGAAATGTAACAGAACACGCATTGAGTAACATCTGCATGACCTCATCTACTGGCAACTGGTTACAAGCTATCAGTTAACCACTTGTTACTTATTCTTTCTACTGAAAAGTCTAAAATAAATTGTATTTGGTTATATAATATATTCTGATTTATGTCTAGAAACAGACATAAGGATTCATAATCCTACAGGCTTTCAAGAAACTGGAAGGTTTTTAGCATCATAACTTAGTGTTTTACCTAGCATTTTCTTCGCCGTCTTTGTCTTTTCTGAGATGTGAGGATGCAGCAGCGTAAGTCTAATTTAGTGCAGATTTATGGTAGGTGTTCACGCTTTCTGGGAAAGAGGTAAATAGGAATGATATGCTTTGAAAGGCCTGGCCTTCCATATCTGCTGGGAGAGGACAAACAGAGCTTGTGCATTAAGTGGAACTGTCCCAGTAAACTCTTAGATTTATGAGAGTGGCATGATTAATTTGCAGTCACGTTTACTGGAGTGTCAGAAAATAATGGAGGTGTTTTCAGCTAGATTATTTTCATGTGATGAGTACATGGCCTAAGCTACTGAATGACAGATGATGTCACCAGTGTTAGCATTATGAGATGTTCAGGACCCATCCACTGGGGTCGTGTGCCTGTCCTGGTTTGTGACTGTGAGTAAGCAGATGCCACCCATTTAGATCCGCTCAGCATTTGAAAATGTCCTCACTTATTTATTTTTAAAAATTTTAAGAGATCTATTTACTTGAAAGAGTTACATGGGGGTGGGGAGAGAGAGAGAGAGAAAGAGAGAGATTGCATGCACAGGACCTTCCGTCCTCTTGTTCACTCCCCATATGGCCACAACAGCCAGGTCATTCTGAAGCCAGGAGCCAGGAATGTTTTCCAGATCTCCATCATGCATGGAGGGGCCCAAGCTCTTGGGCCATCCTCCATTGCCTTCCCAGTCTGTTAGCGGGGAGCTTAATGGGAAGTGGAGCAGCTGGGACAGGAATTGGTGCCCAAATGGGATGCTAGCATTGCAGGTGGCAGCTTTACCCACTATGCCACAACTCAAGCCCCATTCTCACCTATTATTGGGAAATAAACGTTTGTTAAGATTTATTAACCCTGAACTTTGGGAAGATTCTATGCTCTGCTCACTGTGAAGAGATTGTGTGAAGCAATGTGTATTTCTTTCTCTCTCTCTCAAGATTTTATTTATTTATTTGAAAGAAATAGAAGAAGAGAGAGAAAAATCGTCCATCAGCTGGTTCACTCCCCATATGGCCACAACGGCCAGGGCTGGGCCAGGCTGAAGCCAGAAGCCAGGAGCTTCTTTGGGGTTTCCCACATGGGTGCAGGGGCCCAAGCACTTGGGCCATCAACCGCTGCTTTCCCAGGCACATTAGTAGGGAGCTGGACTTGAACTGGCATCCATATGGGATGATGGCACTGCAGGTGGAGGCTTAACCTCTGTGCCACAACAACAGCCCCAGCAATGTGTATTTCTTGATAATAGTTTGCTAAAAGGAACTTTATTCCTCCCATAAAAGAGACTCTTGAGGGGCCAGTGCTGTGGCTCACTTGGCTAATCCTCTGCCTGCGGCGCCAGCATCCCATATGGGTGCCGGTTCTTGTCCCGGTTGCACCTCTTCCAGTCCAGCTCTCTGCTGTGGCCGGGAAAGACAGTAGAGGATGGCCCAAGTACTTGGGCCCCTGCACCCACATGGGAGACCAGGAAGAAGCACCTGGCTCCTGGATTCAGATTGGCACAGTGCCAATGGAAGGAAGACCTTTCTCTCTGTCTCTCTCTCTCTCACTGTCTGTATCTCTACCTGCCAAATAAAAAGAAAAAAGAGACTCTTGAAGCTTGAAGTTGGAAATGTCAGTGGGTTGGACGTCTTTGTGATGGAGGCAGGGCTGTCCTCTGAGTTGCCTGCGTACAAAGAAGAAACGCCTCTTTCCCCTTCCTCACCCTAGGTGGCTGTCTAGAAGATGACCATAGAGGACCTCCCAGAGTTCCCACTAGAAGGAAACCCTCTGATCGGAAGATACCCGTTTCTGTTTCCAGGCTCCGAAGCGCCGGTTATCTTCTCCATCTCTGCAGCACCAATGCCTTCCGACTGTGGTATGTCGACTCCCTCTGCTTCTGTCCTCACCTGGTGACTTCTGTGTGTGTGTGTTTTAGATTTTATTTACTTATTGTAAAGGCGGAATGGGGGTTGGCAGAGAAAGAAAAGATTTTCCATCTGCTGTTCACACCCAGCAGCCAGGGCTGGGCCAGGCCGAAGGCAAGAACCAGAAACTCCATCCTGGTGTCTCCCACATGAGTGGCAGCAGCCCAGGCACTGGGGGGCCGTCTTCTGCTGCCCTCGCAGGCACATGAGCAGGGAGCCGGATCCAGAGCAGAGTGGATGGGGTGAACCGGCGCTCTGATGTGGATGCTAGTGCTGCAAGTGACGGCTTAACTCCCACACCACCATGCTGGGCCCTGAACCGGCGACTTCTGTCTTTTGCCCTTTTTGCAGTTGTAATTTTTCCTAAAACTATTAGTTATGATTTTTACAAAATTGTCAAAGTTTTCCTTTTTAAAAATACAATTGCTTAATGCTTTTTTTCTGCCTCTTAAGCTAAATGCCTTATTTCTGCTGTCAGCATTTTTATTATGTAAAAATGTTCATTTTAAGCATGATGATGGATTGAGAAGATTTTATTTTTGGAATGAAATGGTGGTTAGACATTTCAGATTATTCTGCTATTATGCTTTTATTTTGGCTAAGCGTACTGACTTGCTAGAATGTCATGTACTTCGGCAGTGAGGGAAGGAAGCCTACCTCTGAGATGTGGAGTGAAATTGGTTCATGTTTAAATTGGGTGATTTAAATCTCTTCTGTAAAATGTTAAGTCAGAAGCATTCTAGTTTTTATTTATGTAAATTTTTTCCTCAGGATGATATTTTATCAGATAGTTGGTAAATGAATAAAAGAAAACCAGGAGATAAATTTGATAGAATTGTTATATTTCCAATGTAATTAGAGTTTTTCAAATAAAATATTGGGCCATCATTTAAATTGTCTTTGGAGGTAGAGGTAATATGGTTTTAAAACATTAGTAAGTACAAAGTTGTTGAATTGGGAATTTATCTTAGTCATTTCCACTCTCATAAATCTTCATGTGTCAGTGTCTGTGTTTCGGTGTTGAGATTCTGTAGTTGCTCACCTGTAGCAATCATCTGAAGTTTCACTTAAAACCTGTACCTTGATCCTAGGAGTTATTTGCAGCTTTTCCAAAAATTTTCTGGGTTTATTTTCATATATAACAAGATCAGTTATGCAAGGGAAACCTTGGATCAAAGCACATTATACCTTGCTTGTGACACTCACTTTATCTTGAGTTACAGTGGCTTTATTTCCTTTCCTAGACTGTAGCTCTTCAGGATAGTGTGTGTGTGTGTGTGTGTGTGTGTGTGTACATATGTATGTATATGGCTTCTGCATTGAAATGCCTTGAAGCCCATTCATACAGGGCACATACAAGCATGTTACATATAAGTTATAAACTCCATAGTACCTTATCATTGTTTTTGCCTAAGGAGTGAATTTTTGAAGAAGTTTACATAATAATAGACACTTGAGATTTGTTTCCGTTGCTAGTGCTCTTCACTCATTTGGATGTGGAATTCCATGCACATCATCGTCCTTCAGCCTGAAGGGCTGTCTATAAAGTTTCTTATACAGAAACTCTGCCAGTGATGAATCCTTTCAGCCACTTTATGTCTGAAAACATCTTTATTTCAGCTCTTTTGGAAAAATGTACTTTCTGGCTATGGAATTCTGGATTGATAGTTGTTTTTAAAAAATTTTAAATTTATTTTATTGGGAAGAAGGGAGAAGAAAAAGACATATGTCTCCTGTCTGCTGATTTCCTTTCCAAATACCTGCTTGTGCCAGGTTGGAACCTGGAACCAGGAACTCCATCTGGGTCTCCCATGTGGGTGGCAGGGGTCCAAGTACTTGGGCCATCTTCCACTGCATTCCTGGGTGCATCAGCAGGAAGTTAGACCAGAAGCAGTGCAGCTGGGACTTGGACTGGCAGTCTGATATGGGATGTGAGCATTGTAAGCTGTGGCTTAACCTACTGTGCCACAGTACCAGCTCTGATAGTCATTTTCTTTTAGTACTTCAAAAATGTTGCCTGTCTTCCCATGTGTGTTGTTTCTGATGGGAAATTTACTGTCGTGTTTCTTTCCTCTGTACATAAAGTGTTTTTACTTTTTCCCCCGGCTGCTTTTAAGATTTTATTATTGTTTTTGAGCAATTTTACTGCGACGTATCTGAGTATAATTTTCTCTGTGTTTTTGTGCTTGGGGGCCTGTGGAACTGCTTGGATCTGGGGGATGCCAGTTTTCAAGTTCGGGAAATGGTTATTTCAAATATTTTTTCTGCTTTTCCTCCTTCTCAAAGCCTGCAGTTACACAGGTGTCGGACGACTTGAAGTTGTCTCCCAGCTCACTGATGCTTGTTTCTCATTTAAAAGAGTCCTTTCCCTGCTGTGTTCATTGTGGGCAGCTTCTATTGCAGTGTCTTCACTTTCATAAGTCTTCTCTTTTACAGTGTCTAATTAATCCTGTGCAATTCTCATTTCCGATGGAGTGTTCATCTTAAAGTTGAACTGGGTCTTTTTTTTTTTTTTTTTTTTAAGAATGATATAGATGTCTCTTCTTAGCCTTTGAACATTTAGAACACAGTTGTAATGGCTGTTTTCATGTGCTTTTCTATCAGTTAGTTGTGTGTCTGTCAGCCCTAGGTCTGTCTCGATTTATTATTCCCTTGACTGTGGGTCCTGTTTTCCCCTGCCTTTGCATTCCTGGTAATTTTCACTGGATGCCAGACATTGTGAGTTTTACCATGGGGGCTGGGTATTTGTGTATTCTTGTTGATGTTTGTGAGCTTTGTTCTGTGATGCAGTGGTTTGGCCTTCTGAGGTCTTGTTTTTCTGGCTTGTTAGGTGGGTCTGGGCTCCTTGTCCCACTGTTGAGTGACTTAGGAGGACTGTTTCTTCCAATCACTGAAATCCTTTCTTTCTGTGTTATTGGTTCTCGCGTATCTCATCACCACGTGCAGACCTGGGGTGGGGTCCTCTCTCAGTGCATCCCTGTCCTCTCTGGGGCTCTGCCTGTGACCCACAGTCACCTTGATTTCCCTGGACTCTCAGCCCTGACTCAGCTCAAGGAGTCTCCTGGCTTTTTCTTGGTCCCCCCTCATTGCACTGTGGGCACTTGTGAGAGACTCCCAAGGCCCTTGTTGCATCCCGTCCCCCACGATGGTGGTGTTTCCTTGTCCAAAGTCCAGAGTCTTGAAAACCATTGTTTATTCCTCTGTGGTTATTTCAGGGGGAGGGTAAACATGGCTGCCATTGCTCCAGCTTGGCTTAAAGCAGGCATCTTCCACGTCTTCTGTCTGTACCCCCTTTTCTCTTGATCGCAAACCATTCTTTTTTTGGTGGGAGCTTCAGATTTGCATGCAGTTAGGTGTGTGCATTGCTGCACGACAGCATGGACGTGAAGTCATGGGTCGTTCTGGCTCTGACCCCTGCTCACCCGCTTGTCAGCCGTGTGGTCTTGAGCAAATTGCCTATTTCCTCTACCCCTTTGTTCCTTCTTTAATAAAACCAGGATGGTAACAGTATCTACCTACCTCATAGGGTTGTTGTGGGGTTTAAATGAGTTAACAAAGTTTCTAGAACAGTCCGTGGCACCTAGTAAGCATCTAAGCACTGCCTCTTTGTCATTAATATTTAGATGCACCGTCTGCTGTTTTGCCATTGTGTCAGCATTTAGTTACTAAAGCATTGTCACATATTTTATTATTTGCTGGGCAGACGTCCTTCCCTGGGCATTTTTCTTCTGCTCTGGAATTCTTATTTCTCTTCTAGATCTTTGCCAGAGTGTGGCATGGTGTCGCAGTGCTGGCGTCATGGATCTTGTTGGAAATGCAACCTGAGGTTCACTGAGACTGGGTCAGAATCCACATTGTAACAGCCCCCTAGGGGCTCCCCGTTCACATTCATGAGTGAGGAGCCCTGGTACGGATGAACAAGAGGATAATTTTCTCTGACTTCCTCTCACAAAAAAACTCCTAATGAAGCTTTGATTCAGCTGAAATTATTTAACTGAATTGATTAATCTTAGGAGAATTGGCAGCTTCATGTTATCGCTTCCAATCGAGGAACATAATGTGTCTCTTTTCATCTGCTTCCTGCTCCACTCCTCCAGTTTCCTGTTCAATGAGCCTCACGCATTGATTGAAATGTTGTTGTTATTGTGTGCGGGATCTTTTTTCTCACGTTGCCTATTTTTTTTCTTAAATAAGAAAAAAACATTTAAAACGCAGGAAAAACAGCAATCACAACACATACATCAAACATATTCACCAGCAGCGTGAACCAGTAGTGGCATTTCAGCATGTTTAGCTTTTCTAGTGCAATGAAATAAAGCCTTAGAGTTGACGTTTCCTCCATTTTCATTTTTTAATTAAGATTCATTCATTTACCAGAAAGGCAGAGGTACAGATTCTGGGGCGGGGGGGGGGGAGAGAAAGAGAGAAAGAGGTATCCATCCGCTGATTCACTCCCCAGATGCCTGCAGCGGCCGGGGCTGGGGCACTGTGCCATGCACCAGTTTCTCCTCCGTTTTCCTTCCTAGTCACTGCCTTTGCTTCTCAGAGGTAACTGCTTCTGACATCTATGTGAGTATTCCTCATAGGAGGGTCTGTCAGTCGTATACAGTGTTTATGTATTTCCATTTTTATGTAAATGATAGATATTGTATATGTCACCCTGCAACTTTTGTTTTTGCACTCAAATATTTCTTGAAATCTGTTTTTTATATCAGATCTTTTATTGCATTATTAAAATACTGCAATTAGACTTATAATCCAGGTTCTTGTTTCTGTAGCTGGACAACTCACAAATCTTACTCATTAGCCTGCTGAACCATTCTCTCTCTCTCTTAAAGATTTATTTATTTGTTTATTTATTTATTTGAAAGGTAGAATTACAGAGAGAAAAGGACAGAGAGAGAGAGAGGAGAGAGAGAGAGAGAGAGAGAAGAGAAGAGAGAGATCTTCC